CAGGTAAGGCCCACTCAGCCACTGGAAGAAACCCGAGCAAAACCGAGAGACCTCAGAATTCGCCAGGCGAGGAGGGGGGAGATGAAAACAACACACTCTCACATGGTGTGTCAGCCTTTCCCCAACCCACCCCAACGTCTGATCACTATTGGGTCTGCTTACGTGTGTATTTCAGATAAGGATGCATTCACTTATTTATTTATTTATTTATTTATTTATTTAATACTTCAGATCTTCCAATACCACCAAAAAGACTCAATTCCTTTCCAAGGTGAAAAGTTGGTTTAAAGAAAATAAAATAAAAGGCTCCATTTTAAATCAATAGGGGAATCATATGACTGTGACCTTGACGTGTGAAGGGAGGCGGGTAGATGGGGACCAAACCTCTGGCCTCTCGGTTTCTGGGCCGTCCTAGGCCCTTTCTAAGAACACCGACCAGAAGGGGGGTATATTTTCAAAGGTTACCATTAGCAGTTCATTCGCTAAAGTTGGGAGCTTGGTATTTTTATATTATGTGAAATACATGATTTAATTATATTCCAAAAACAAATTAAGGACAGGCCTTCTACACAAATTGGAGGCAGCTAAATGCTCTTTTGTGCCTGCAGCCCTCGGGTTGTTAAAGAGGCTGCTGATGCATGAGAAGTAAGTGACTGATTTAACTCATTGGGATGCAGGAAGCGACCTGCCCTCTTTTGAAAAAAAAGCTGGAGAGAGAGAGAGAGCAGAGAGAGTGAGAGAGGATGAGAGACTTCTGGCTGGAGAAGAGTGAGGGAGGGGAGAGGGGGAAAGTAGGGGAGAGAGAGAGAGAGGGTGAGAGAGAGAGAGAGAGAGAGGGAGAGGAAGAGAGAGGAAGAGAGAGGAAAACACAGAGGGAGGGAGTCAGCGAGGGAGACCAAACCCCGCTTTACTGTGCTGAAAGCTTCTGAATTTCAAGCAGAAAGTAGAAGGAGCCCCACACAGCAATGAGCGTCTTTCCTTCGGCTGCGTGTGCAAAGCGTAGACAATGAAAATCTCCAACCCCCTCCCCCATTCCCGCTAGGCGACAAGATTTTTGTTTCCTTCTTTCTCAACGGTGGAAGATGGGCAAAATCAAATATAAAGAGACCTGTACATATTTTTCAAACAAACCTAACGGGCTGAGACGCGGATTACCCAAACGCACACTGGCTGTAAGTATTATCTTTTCCTGCCTTCGCTGGGCTCTGCGTCGCTGGCTGGTTGGGAGTGTTCGCTTTGTGAGTGGGGCGCGGGTAGAGTTGGGTTGTTGTTATTCACAGGGGCTCCTCGAAGCTTGCACTTTCTGCACGTGAGCGGGTGAAGAGTGTCGCCCGTTGTGGGCGTGCAGAACAGGGCACTGGCTGTCTCCGTTGCGGCGACTCAGAGCAGAGGGCGGGGGACGGCGGGAGGCGCCGAGTGAAGGGGTTCCCGCGTCGCGAGCATCCTTGAGAGCCTCCCGCCCGGCTCCAGGCTGCGAGGTTGGTCCCAGGCACTAGACGGAAATTGGGTCACGGAGAATCCTGTGCTCCCGGACTCCCAGGCACGCTGGGGAAACGGGATGGATTGGAAGGAGAGACCCCAGGAGGAGGGAGGGAACGCAAGCACGCCTGGCCTAGAATGGAGTCCGGGGCCACAAGGGGTGGCCTCCGAGGTTTGCCCGGTTTTGTCTCGGCGGGGATAGCGCTATCACTAGCATCGCGCCTTCGTTGTTTTGGTCCTTTGGTTGTTTTTGTTTTTTCTAAATCTACATCTGAAATAAAGAATCCTTTTGCGGCAAGGGCTGAAAGAGGGTGGGAGAGTGTCTCTTGGAGGGCCCAGGCGGGAGAAATTGCGTTTCAAGTGAGGTATTTTCTGGTCTCTTTGAAAATGTGCAAGAATTCCGCGGGCCCACGCTTTCTTTGTGTGCCGGGAGCGCCGGGCGCTTTGTGCTTCCCAAGGAGAAAATGGCGAGTTCTATTGTGTTTAGGCCATTTTCTCCCGGCACCAGGATTTTCCCAAGTTCTAAGCACTTCGTTGCCACGTAGCTTTCTCGTGCTCAGAAAAGTGTGAATCGCCGGAGTTCGGCCCGGGGATGCGGCGCGGGCCCCGGCCTGGCGTGGGTGAGAGCCGCTTCCTCGAGTCGGGACGCTTGTGTCCAGACAAGAACGCAACCGCTGGGCGCAGGTCGGCGCCCTTCAAAGGTCCGCAGTGGCTCTCGCGGACGCGGACAATACCTGTCTGTGTGCGTGTGTTTGTGTGCGCATACACGAGTAACATACTTTCCCCGACCATCTGAAGGCAGAAATAAAAGACGAAATACGAATGTCTTGAGGGAGGAGGAAAGTTTTCTCTATTCTTTCACCCCCCGGAGGAAACCCCAGGAGAGAGTACATGTTATTACTCTACTAGGTCGGTCTTTTGTTTTTCAAAAGGAAGGTGAAACGTTGTTTAGACAGAAGGAATTATTAAGTAGCCTTAAATAGTGTAGCATATGCCTCTTTTGCTTCACTAGGGAAAAAAGGTGTTAAGGAAGGGATTCAGTTTAATGCTCTTAGTGCTTATGTATGTGTGCATACGTGTGATGTTATCTGTCTGTCTGCCTGTGGACAGAGGTGAGAAGTTTATTGTTAGCCTTATTTTCTTAATTTGCTATTTTTGTAAAAATTTCTGCACTTGTTGAACTATAAAAATGAACAAGAATGCTTATACAAGGATGTCTATGTGACTTTTGAAAGCTGTATATATAATACATATATATTTAAAATACTACTTTCTATTTGCTATAATTCTTTCGACCCTTAAATGGGATGGTGATTTTTGTCAGCTTAAAAATAATAAAATGCAAACTTCCCCATCTGCTTCCTGCCCTCTCAATTTGGTGGCAAATATAGAAAAATGAAAACAAGTAGAATGGGAGAGAAAATTTAAAGCCTATAGACGTGCCCCCTTTGACATTTTCGTAAAATGTCAGGGCATCAAACTGGTGCAAAAACATTGATTTATATTCTTCAAAATGCTCCACTAGGATCTCCCTCCATGTGGATCAAAACCATGGACAGCGAACTTATATTAAATCACTGAGCAAAAGGGACTCTAGTAAAATTTTGTGGGAGCAAAATAGAAGTTTACGTTCAAAACACATCAGGAGGCAAAAACAATCCTTGCAATTTTTAGAAGGAATCAGACTCCTTCAAAGTGTGGCATTTTAAATGTATTCAAACCAAGTTTCACAAAAAATAAATCCAATGATTTATATACCATGTATCAAATAGTATATGTTCTTTATGCACTTGAAATAAGATGAGATTTACTTTTTGTTACTGATAAATAACAAATTCAAATCTATTCATTTAAGATATGGGCTGTTTCTTATAAGGCCTCGAAGCAGAGTGAGGGTAGAGAAATTTTACAATTTTAAGCTGGCATTAGTTGAATGACAATAGAGCAAATTAAATTGATTTTTATCAGTGGCTGAATTTCTAAATGCATAGAATTGGAAAGATTAAATGCCATTTTGATAGACAGGGATAATATGAATAGAGATACAATCCAGCTATTCCTCCTGTTTAGCCATTGCAGTCTCTAACTAGCAGTGCAATGTGGTGGGCAAGCGTTTTTTCCTAAGAAAACCATGTGTGTGTGTGTGTGTGTGTGTGTGTGTGTGTCCATATATATATATATATATATATATATATATATATATGAATGACTTGATTTGGGGCACAAGATTACTTCACTGTGACTGTGTCAGAGATCAACTTACTTTGTTTCTTATGTTGTTTGAATTGCCTTTATTCCTTTATAGAGCTGAACTTCATTGAAAAACATTTCATTTTTGGCTTACATAACACATTCAATGTTGCTCATTTAAATTTCCAATTTCATTTATCTTTGGTTTACTTCATAACCTGAATTCAGTGTGACTTTAAAGGCCTGGGGAATTATATAAGGCAAAACTAATATGCTAATTCAAGAAATTAGTTTGTACTTAAAATTAAATTTTGAAACGACATTAAATTGAAGAGGGTTTGTGGTTTATATAGTGATTAATTTATCTTTATTCATTGGATTTGGCTATAGAATGACATGGCAGTTATCTGAATATACAGATTCATAAAAGTAGATGCTAGATATATTTCGGAGATACACGCACATTCCCTTCTCCCCTCCCCCCATAAAAAAAATCTTCAAAGTATTTTCAGAGAAAAAGCAATGATCAGGACCATGGTGAGGTCCCATGGCTCAGGGAGTGGCGGCCTAAGGCTCCGGTTGGGACGCAGAGTTCGCTGGTTGGGAGAGAGTCATTGTTTAGAAAGGCATATTCGTCCGGAATGGCAATCGTGACAAGATTAAACATAAATTAAACCTTGGTCTGGGGAAAGGGTGGCTTCGGGGCGAGAAGAGGAGAAGCAGATAAGCCCTGTTTCTGTTGCTTGCTCACATAATTAAGGGGCTGCTCCTCATCTGGAGCGTGGGCTCTGTCGGCCTAAGGTGCTAATTTTGCTGTTGTTTGGCTAACCATGTGTGCGCGAACAAGGGTCCAAGAGCTTAGACTTAGGGATCTAGAGGAGACGTCCAGAAGGGGTCGGCTCTTGTCTCCGTTGTAAGGAGAGGTAACTAAGAATGCTGACTTTGGCTTGCCTTGAGCGAGCCTACGCATTGACGGTAGGGCTGTGAGGGAAGGGCTGGAGAGACAAGGGGCGCGACGTCTTAGGGGGCTGTCTTGCGTCTCTGTATTAGCACCTGGAGGTAGGAAGTAGACAAGGGCAGGGCGCTCGCCCTTTGCTGTAGCCAGGCGCAGCTCCTGGGGGCTGAGCGCCTTCTGCGGCTCTTTGGTTTCAAGGACACAGCGAGCTGCTCAGGACTTTGGGAGCCAACATCTGTCTGACTGGTGACGTCAGCAGCCCGTGTAATCCTCTTGTGCTGAAGGCAGATGCCTTATTTGTTTGGCTGGAGCGAGCCATTAATCCCTAATTCTGGATCAGCAAGCGAGGGGGAAAGACTGGACCGCTCCGACCCACCCCCTCCCCATCCCCACCTCCCACCCTAAAGCACCTTATACCACGGAAGCCTCTCACCCTCCTCTTTCCTCCGTGAACGCGCTGAGCAGCGATTGAAAGCGCTTTGGTCCTCTGCAGGTTTGAGCAGGGCTAGTAGGTAGGCTGTGTGTATATGTAATTCTTTCTCTTATCGATCGTTTCGATTTTCTTGCTGAGACTCGCTGGTCTTGCAGTTTGCAGGGTCCTAAGCCAAGAAGGGGTTGGGAGTGCGGATCAGGAGTGTGGTCTAAAGGGGTGAGGCAGGGGAAAGGGGGCACAGGGTTTGGGAACGGCCGGGCTGCACCGAATGACCTTCTGCGGACGTGTTTTGACGGTTCCTGCTCACGAAATCTTTTCTCCGGCTGCGATGGTGTCGCAGCGTCTGGCCCCCACCTCGCGGTTTCCGCAGCCGGGACCTGAGCGGACAACTACCGCACCGCCCCCCGGGCTGTGCTCCCCGGCACCACGCGCGGCGGGTCCCTTCGCGCCTAGCTGAAGCTTGGGGACGGACGGAGGTCGAGGCCCGCCATCTGGGGTCCCATCCTCCGGTCACCTTATCTCTCTTGCCTGCTCCCTGCCACCTCCTGTCCCTTCTCCCCAGCCTCCTGCTCCTCCCTCCTGCCTCCCTGCCTAATGCTGCTCTGATTCTATTTTGCAGGGGCGTGTTCTGGGGTCTCAGAACTAGACCACCTCTAGACTCTCTCACCAGCCGCAGCCAGCTCTACGCGCCCTCAGGCCGCGGTGGCGGAGAATATCCCCCCTTCCTCGGACCCTGGAACCGCAGCGGGCCTTTCCCTCGGGGCCGACAGCGCCGTAGGGGACGCCGCGAAAAGAGCCGCAGCGGCCGCCGCCTCCCGCCCGCTGCGCAGAGGGCTCCACCCGTAGAGGTCAACTCCCTTCACCCCTTCCTCTCCAACTCGCCCTCCCTCCGCCCGGCCCAGGTTCCTCCTGCCTCCGGAATCTGGCCGCAGTCTGAGGAGTGCGCGTCCGCTGTGCTGCTCGCAACCAGGACCCGGAGCCGGCCCCAGCCTTCGGGTCCGCGCTCCCCGGCCGTGGGGAAGCCTTAGCGAGCAGCCTTTTCTCTCTGCAGTAAAGCTGTAGCCATACCAGATGGGCCGCCCCGCTCTCTGGGGACTAGGCAGGTGCGATTGAGTTAATTTTTCCGCATCACAAAGAAAGATGACCTAGACCGCCCTTGGACTCCTCTCTTCCCCAAATCTCCCAACCAAAACCGCGGTAACGCTATCAGAGGACGTAGAGACTAGGCATATCTGCGTGTTTATCTTACATACACACACGTATGGTTATCTTCCCCTTTATGTGCTAGATCGCATGCCCACAGCAGGAAACGATTGACAAGGCTTTCTTCAGCAGAACATGCCGTGGCGCGGTCCTTAAAACCTGCCATTCCTTACAAGGGACTAAGAAGAGATGCGGGGCACACCAACCCGGTTAATTGCCTTCAGCGAAATAACACGATTGTGAAATTAGATCTGTGTCAGAGGGGTAATTAACTTCGATCCACGCCGTCATTTGAAAACTAGATTTATAGGCGTATGTATGTTTTTAGGGGTGCTGTAAATGGCATGCGGAAATATGCATATGTATACGCAGACATGCATCGTCTACACTTCTTCCGAACAGTCTAATTAGCAGCCTCTCTCTCTGGCAGCTGTGGCAGGAGGCGAGCAGAGACAGGAGCCGGGCTTCTGAGTTATGGCTCCTGCGGAGTCCTGGGGACCCAGAGCTCCAGGGAGGGGGAAGGGCAGGAGGAGACGTGTGGTATTCGCAGGGGGTCAGTTACTTTACGGATCAAGATCAGACTCTGCCCTCCGTGTTCACAGCGGACCTTGATTTAATGTCATACAATTAAGGCACGCGGTGAATGCCAAGAGCGGAGCCTACGGCTGCACTTGAAGGACACCAGAGCGTCTCAGGATATGAGAGGGAAAAAGGCAACTGAAAAGGGTTTTAAGGAGTGGTAGAACAACCCCATCTTTGGCGGATAGAGACCCTCAAATTGATTCCAGAACCAACCTAGTGTTCCGCAAGCAAAAGGGTCACAGTTCTCAGTAAGAGCTCGGAAATCCGCACGCAAATCCCGGAGGGGAATTTTGGGGGAGCCTCAGTGACAGCTGTCAGGAGAGCGGGAGTTCCCATTTGTGCAAATATTCTAGAGAGTTTAAGTTTTTAGAAAGCAGTGATTCCTTCAAGAGCGGGTAGTAATGATTGTTTGCGATCCTGGGCCAAGCTGCGGTAACAGAACCGTCGAGAAAGAGGATAATAACATTAAGTGGCGTCCTCACCACATTGCGCAAGAAACCTCAACTGGCTCAGCTCCTTGGGGAAGCTCACAACCACCACCCCCCACCATCACTTCCCCTTTCTCTTCCCAGTCTGCAGTGGGCCTAGCCTGGCTTTAAAAAGCCAAGATAATTTCCTTGTTTCGTCATACTCGCAATGGCCAAATCAGTCAAAGGAGAACAAGAAACTTTAGAAGGACTTGGTAAATTATTTTATTTGAAAGCCAATAAGGTGGACTTTGTTAAGATAGTAGTTTGCACCACTGCCTTAGGGCCAAAGACAGACCCGAGCTGGGAAGCGAGCCTTGATAGAAGCCTTTGTTCTGCCGGGGCCGGCAGGGGCCGCGAACAAAGGGGAGGATCCACTGAAGTGGCCGCGCCCTCCGCGCCTGCCGCTGTCCGCGGTGCTGACCATGGCCCTCTTCTCTAATTTCGCCAAACGCAATAGGACCGTCCTGCTACTGCCCCCGAAATGTAACAGGATATTAGGTAGTTTGCGAAAGAAACATTAAAAGCAGGGAAATGACGCATACAGCAACACCTAATATTTACCAAGAGCGTCCACTCTAGCTGTTGCCACACTTGGCTTGTGCTTTTCCAACTTTATGTAGTTATGCATATACACTTAGTGTACATGCATTGGGAAACAATTTCAGATTTTAGGCTAAAACCCGAATCTAAGCAAAGGGCAGGACTTGCGAGAAGAATGAAGTCGCCATTTTTTTCTCTTAAGCCATCTACCTTAAAACACACCAACATAAGCTCCTCAGCCACAGAGTTTAACAGTGCTGGTGATTTCACCAAAGGGACAAGCGACAGACTCAAGTGTGGGCCTCAAGACATATCTGAAGGAGATGAGATGGGGACTGACTAGGTGAGAGACAAGAGGAGCCCACCCACCTAGCCTGCTGCCTCTGGCCAGGCTCTCGCCAGGGCAGCCTTTCCCGGCAGGTCCCAAGCTCAGAGCTTGCTTCACCGATTCCCAGCCAGCAGGAAGCACAACAAGGCCAGGAGGCCTGAAACCCGCACTGCGGAAAAACCGACCACAGCAGCATCCTCACAGCTCTGGCAGGTAGAACAAGTCAGGATGGTTTGTTTACTAAATCCCAGGCCATGAAGATTCACTTTTGGAGCCTAGGGTCCTGTGGGTCCATATCAGTATATTCAATGCCTTTTTAAATATCTCAGCATATTCCACTGTCCTAAATATTAAAGTATTGTAATATATAAATAATAAAATTTAAGTCTCCTAACTAAACAATGAACAAAAGAAGAGAGAAAGAGCGAGAAAACCAACAACTTTGTAGCCAGCCTGGGCTCTCAAAAGAAAGTACTGTGCCTTTGCTTGTGTTAGTTTATAAATCCACAAATTGTACACAGTTTTAAAATTAGGAATAGATAAAACAATCTAGACTGAGCAATTGAGGCAGCAACACCAATTTTGATCCAGACATAGAAATGGACCATAAATGGGTCATACATTTCATCAGGTTTGTTCTTTTATGCCCCTGGGTGGAGGAGATATGAGAAAGGATTCATAAAATAAAACAACCAAGGATAATATCCTCAGCCAGATATATCTTTTCCCCATCCTTCAGAGTGGATTTTATTTGTCTTTCAATTTTAGAACTCTGCGAGTTTGGTCTTTTATGTGCATTGATGACTTAGGTTTGTATTTCATTTTATACAATTTGGGAGGGAGTAGGTAAAACACACTGGTAAAAAAAGGGGGACTAAAGTGATAAAGGGAAAGGGTTAGGGGAATATTCTTCATGTGCCACTATGAGCCCTCTAAGAGCCCAATGTCCAGCCAATGGACATTGAAATGGGTTTAAAGCATTACAAGTTAGCATTAGAGCCTTGGTTTTCTTCCAGTATTCATACAACCACACTGATCCCCTGCATCCACATCCCCCCAGCTCATTCATGAAGGAACAGGTCCAAACCTGGAAAACACTGCTGTCTGAGTAGAGTTATAACTCACATTACTTAACAGAAGCACACCTAATCTCCCTTACCCTCATCCTTCTCTTTAGGACAGCCCAAACTCATCCTCCAGAAAACTCAATCCGTTTTAAAAATCACTTTCTAAACAGAAATAAAGTACATACTGTGAAAGAGGGAAGTTAAAATACCACTTAGGTAAGGGAACACAATTTAGTAATCTATTTGCCGTGATTAAATTTAGAGTGGTTATTGATTAGTAATATTTCTAGATTTTTTAAAAGACTATTTTCTACTTCTCTTAAAATAATCATCTGCTGTAATGTGCATTGCCAATTTCCCTGCTATGAAATTCTATGCTTAGCATTTTTTGCAATAAATCAATCAATGCTTCGTAATTGGAAATTTTCGGTGAGGCATGCTGTGGGAGACCTTTGATAATCATAACTTTCGTTTAGTGGGCTGAAATTAAAGCTTCTCGGAATAAACTTAGGAACAGCTTGACCCTTTCTGATACTCAAGGACAACCCTCCAGGGAAATAGTATGTTTCTGTCCCAGGAACAAGATGCTAGCGCAATGCACCAGGAGGTATCCGGTGTCAACAATACCAGAGCGCCCTCTGCTACCCATAAGAGGCAGGACATCAGTTACAAAAGCCAGATGGCACTGAGTTGCAATAAGGAATGAAAACAATAAGCTCTTAGAAACATTTAATCTGTAAAATTTAAAAGCTCTCATCATATTGTACTTCTGAAGGGGCCATCCAATTTCAATTTCCAACACTCCTTGGATAATCTCCTTTTATTCGGAGGATAGTGAAAAGTTAATGTTTTAAAGTTTTCATTCTGTCCAATTATTTCTGTAGTTATATTTCTGCACCTTTACCCCCCTCAAATTGCAAAGTCCTCTTTAGCCATGACAAGATATGGTCACAGCATAGGCACTAACAGGAGGTGTTATGTGCTTAAAAATGAGTTTTTCAGTATACAATCTCTTCTCAAATGAAATGGAGATTTTTAAAAAGGTTAAAATCTTTTTTAATTTTTATGTAATATAGGATGTATAATGAATAAAAATATGTACAGTTGTATTCATTCAATGTTGTGTATTTCAAAATTACAGCCTATTTCTAAAAAAAATCTTTGACATGAAATCTATTGTTGAAGGTATCAGTGCTAATGTAATAAAATGATTCTACTAATAATGTGATTGTTAAATAAATTTTGTAAAAATAAAGTTCTGTTTATATTATGGTGCCAGAATGAAATAACTATCTAATATTACTCATTTTAAACTTAATTTTAAAATTGAAATTCTTACAAGAATATTAAGCTGTAAGGTTGCTGAGAATATAAGCCAATATTTAAAATTATGATTTTATAATTTGCTATAATACAAAAAAGTTCTTGATTAAATATTAAACTAAGTTAAAGATTTAGCTACATATGTAAAATTTCATACAACTAACTATAGGTACATTTGTCTTCTGAAAGCTACCCCTTCAAAGAATGCATTTACAAATTTATGGCCTAGTGAAATAAAGAAAATTATTAGAACATGTATATTTTCATTCTAAACATTCTTTTAAAAAGTTAAAATATTATTTCTCTGTGCTTAATTTCAACTTCTGAGTAAATTCATATTTTACTCATGAGAGAATGAACCCAGTGACATTTTACCATATTCCTAATAGTTATTATAAGTTTAAAACCAATTTCTAGGTAATTAAAATATGAAATACATATTGAAACATTTCTACTTTAAAAAAATTTGCTCTATTAAAACAAACTGAAGAGAACCAATTAAAATGGCTTCTCATGTCCACGAGATGCAGCCCGAGGTGAAATGCCTGACCAGTATTTGCCTCTGAATTTCTATATAAGAGTTTTAACCCCTCCTTACTTTATATTTACACAGGGGTGACATCTTGTAACTGAAACACTCCTCCTGACTTCTGGCTACTTAGAATCCAAAGAAATGTTCACTTCTGTGGGAGTAATATCTAAACAATATATTTATGGGAAGCACTAATACAATAAAAGCAACTAATTATTGGTACTTTTCTTTAAAAATTAACCACACAGTAATTGTGTCCTCATTTATGCTCTTAGGTGAAATTAATACAGAATTTAATACTTGTGGATCATGAAAATAAAAGCTCTTTAGATTAGATTGAATGGGCTTTAGTAAACTCGGTGTTTTTTTAATCTGGTATTTGGACTCAGCTGTCGCTGCTATTTCCATCAGCTGCTATTAAGTAACTAGTATAATATAGAAATGTGGCTGAGTAGGAATTGAAAATATAATGCTCTTAAGATACAATAAAATTGGAATATCAAGAAATTGGAAATAATTATTTTAGAAGAC